ATCATAACAAACCTACACAGACCTTCATCACTTGCTAAGGCTTTCTCATTTTTTCTATTTTGGAAAATAGCTCCATTCCCATATCCTTTTAACATCTTTTACATTCTCGTTTTCTTTTTTTCTTTTTTCTTTTTTTTAAATTATGAGACATAATAGCACTAACAAATTTTCCATCTATTGTGTGAATTCTTTTCCTGGGTATAGGAGAACCTGTCTCAAAAACAACCCCCCCCAAAAAAATGAAGAGATGGCTCAGTGGTTAAGAGCACTGGCTACTGAACCCAGGTTGTTCCCAGCACCTACATGGCAGCTAACAACCATCATTAACTCCAGTTCCAGGGGATCCAATGCCCTCTTCAGGCCTCTGAGGGCACTGCATTCACATGGAACACATACATGCAGGCAAAACACTCATATAAATAAAATAAAAATGATCTTAACATACAACAACTGAATTTTTTTTTAATTTTTATTATTTTTATTTTATGTGTATGCGTGTATTGCCTGCATGTAGGTAAGCGCACCCGTGTCATGCAGTGCCCTAGGAGGTCAGAAGAGGCTGTCGGATCCCCCAGGACTGGAGTTATGGAGAGTTGTTAGCTGTTACGTGGGTGCTGGGGTTCAAACCCGGGTCTTCTGCAAGATCAGTGTTCTTAACCACTGAGCCATCTCTCCAGCCCCCAACAACTGAATTTTTTTTAAAAGATGTATTTTAATTTTAATTGTGGATATGTGTGCAGATGAGTGCAGGTTCCCACAGAGGCCAGAGACTTTGGAGGCCCCTGGAACTGGAGTTACAGGCCTCCTGGCATGAGTGCTAGGAACTAAACTTGGGTCCTTTGCAAGAGCACCAGGCACTCTTAACCTCTGAGCCATCTTTCCAGCCCACAGATGAACTTCTGTTTATGTTTTGTTTATCGAGGCAGGTACTTACTGATGTTAGCCCAAGCTGGCTTTGAACTTTAACTGAGTTTTTGAAGTAGAATGAATTTAATTTTTAGCTATAAAATGTTAGTGATTTTTAAAAATGATTTAATCACATTTAATATATTTGGATCATAGGGAAATACTTGTTTCTTTATAGTTTCTCTTCTTACATGCACGTAATCTGTTTTACTTTATTCTTAGCTTGCAGAACACAGAGGAGGCCGGCCTTCCTACAGCCTGGAGTCTTTTTGTCGCTGCCCTTTTTATGAAGAAGCTATGCACTTAGTTGAAGAAGGAAAAATTTCATCCAGAGTACTGAGGTATCATTCCAATTTTGCTTATGGTTATGAAAAATATTAAGGTGCTGTTGCTACGTCTGTGTGAGAGTTACTAAATTATACGAATATAGGAAAAAATGCAGTTTGGGTCCAAGTAATTTTTTTTCTACATGTTCTGGCAGCGTGGAAGGGACATGTGTTTCATGTTAAGGTCCTGTGGTTAAGCCTTGTTCAAGCCAAGTTTGATCTTGAATGAAACGTAATAATTATCTCTGCTTTTTATTATACAGAACCGAAATGCTGGAGTGCCTAGGAGACAGTGATTTCCTTGCCAAACTTCACTGTATTCGACAGGCTTTTCAGGTATTTTTATAAAATTATGTGGGGTGCAGTGCTGGTGCACGGGCAGCTGTCTGCCGTCGTCCTTCCCTAGGTTTACCAGCCCTCTACACTTCGCCTAACAGGATATTGTGACGGTGCAAGTGTAGAAAAGCTGCTTAAAAAAAACCTCTTATTATCAGTTACTCCCTTAGGTTTAAAAATTTTGAATCAGCAATAAAAACCACTCATTTCCTAAAAGGAAATAAAGTCATTAATAATAAACTGTCTTTGTTTTCATATCTTTTCAGACTAAAGAAAATTTACCTGAGATTTTTGTCTTAAACAGAATTTAAATTCAAATTTATCTCCCTTTAGTCTTTTTCTTTTTTCTTTTTTTTTTTTCTTTTTGGTCTTTTTCAGACAGGGTCTCCCTGTAGCCCCAGCTGTCCTGGATCTCACCATGTAGACCGGGCTGGCTTTGAACTCACAAAGATCTGCCTGCCTCTGCCTCCCAAGTGCTGAGATTAAAGGTGTGCACCACCACGCCTGGCAATCTTTTTATTTTTTAATTAATTTATTTATTTTTGGTCTTTTTGAGACAGGGTCTCCCTGTAGTGGGGCTGGCCTAGAACTCACTATGTAGACCAGGCTGGCCTTGAACTCACAGAAATCTGCCTCCCTCTGTCTCCCAAATGCTGGGTTTAAGGCATGTGCCACCATGACCAGCTCTATTTTTATTTTATAAGTGTTTCACCTACATGTATGTAAGTGGATCATGTGCATGCAGTGCCAGTGGAAGCCAGAAGAGGGCGTCAGATCCCCTGGAACTGGCGTTACGGTGGTTATTAGCTGCCATGTGGGTGCTGGGAACTGAATGTGGCTCCTCTGCAAGGGCAGTCAGTGCTCTTAGCTGCTGAACCATGTCTCCAGACCCCTTTTAATCTTTTTTGATCATTGGGTTCAAAAGCTTTTTTATTTTAGTGAATTGGGACTTTGTGTCTAGTGTCAACCTGGCACCACATGCAGTACATTAGCTGGGGTTCTCCATGTGTCCATGCTCTATAAAGTTGATGCATTCGAGCTTCACTGTGCGGCTGGGTGTTTTCCAGGTGATCCTCTCAGAAGCAGCCACCAGGACCTTCCTTGCTGAGAGTGGAAGGCAGATCTTATCAGCCTTAATTGTGAGAGCACAAAAGGTAGAGTTGGACTAGTTCTATCCCCTTGACGACTAAACACCAAAGTACAGGCTGAGGAGACGACTCAGCGGGTAAAGCACTGGCCACCAAGCCTGGCCACCTGAGTTTGATCACCAGAACCCACGTGGCAGAAAATGGACTCCTGTAAGCTGTCCTCTCCCCTCCACACACAGGCTGTGACATGTGCCACCCCACCTACAAAATTAGTAAATACATGTAAAGAAAAAGATTTTTTTTAAAACTTTCTAAAGCTTAAGGTGCACTGAAATTTTAATAGTGGGAAAAGTCTCTGTAATATTTGGAAAGACCCAACCAAGAATAAGGAACATTGATTTCTCGGTCTTTCTCTCACTCTGTCTCTCCTTTTAAAGAGACAGAGGCTATGTAGCGCTGGTTGACCTGGAACTCACTTTGTAGATCAGGCTAAACTTAAACTTTCAGTGACTCTCCTGCTCCTACTCTGAGCGCTAGGCTCACAGATCTGCACCAGCGTGTCCAACACCAGCACGGCTGGCTCAGAGCTCTTAACAACTTACTGGCACGCTCCCTCTTGGCCTCTGTAACATAGAATTACCACATCTAAATGAAGGGATGGAATCTAGAGAACTTGCCTTCCGTGTGCAAAGGCCAAGGTTAACCAATGCCACATACACTTATAGTCCTAGCGCCTGGAAGGGAGTGGAGGCAGGGATCCCAAGTTCAAGGTCATCCTCAGCTACATAGTTCAGTTCCGGCCTGGGGTACATGAGACCCTTTCTCAAAAAAAAAAAAAAAAGGTAAATAATTTGGCATATCTTGAAAGTGTTCTAGAGTAATTAAGGTACCAACCTTTTTGATACTAACTTATTTATTTTATATTAAAGGCTTAAATCTTGTTGTAAAATTGAGTTTAGACTGAAATATGTTTTCTTGCAGAATCCAAAGAAATTTGAAGACGTTTTTGATGAAATGATCTATTTTTTAGAACAGACTGATCACTGGGATAGTACTGAAATGGAATTTGCTGCTAGAGGGGTAAATTCAAATTTTATATAATCTTTATTCTTGTTATTTGGATATATTTACATGATTTGAGGCATTGCTTCCTTAAGTGATAGTAAGTCCAAATGTGTGGTGGTGGGGCACCGTTGTATTTCTGACAGTCATAAACAATGGAAACTGTACTCGTTATACATTGGGTCAGTGGTAAAGAAGTGGCTTTTTAAAGCCTTGTTTTCTCTGTCCATGGCTCCCTTCCATGTAAAAGGCCCTTGCAAGGCAGGAACAGTAATGGCAGTTTCAGATGAGCAAGACGGCCAAGGAAGCCCAGAAGTGAGCTCATCACAGGACTGGACAAGTGGGTGGACTGGGGTGTAAAGAGCTAGAACTGAAATTGGAACCGTATGTGTGAGTTCATCGATTATAGTATACTTAGTTGTAGAAATCAGTCCAGACATAAGGCTTGTGTGCATGTGAATGTCCATGACAGGGTCCAGGAGCAGCAACAGGCAAACAAAGTTGTCCCTAACGCACAGGCTTGGCTTCTGACTACCGTTCTCCACTAAAAGGAACAGGACTCCTTAGAGAATGGCTGGTTCTAGCACTGGGCAGGAAGAACGTGTGCCGAGCCCCTTGCTGTAGTAGATGAGCACAGAATGACCTTACAGAGAGCTCAGGCAGGCTAGCCGGGAGAATGGTCGATACAATCCACAGAGCACATTCCTTGCTTCTGCAGTGTGCCCTCATCGCTGAGAAGATGTCAGTAGAAACCCGAGACTCATCCTTCACCCCTCCCCTGGTCTGTACCACCTTTTCATAGTCATCTCTCAATTTGGTCAGTGTGAATCCCAACATGTCTTAAATTCTTCAGCTTATCTCTGTTCCTGTTGCCTCTCTCTTGGCCTACATCTCTGTTGCCTTTTACCCGATCTTTCTTGTCTCTTTGAACCCTGACTCTGCCCCCTGCACTCCTCCTGTAAGGTACTCTCATCCCCTGCTGTTCCACCCTCTACACTTGTACAAAAATTATCTTGTGCCCCGTGTGGTGCACACCTTTATTCCCAGCACTCAGGAGGCAGAGGCAGGCGGATCTCTGTGAGTTCAAGGCCAGCCTCATCTGCATAGTGAGTTCCAGGCCAGGTGGGGCTGCAGGGAGACCCTGTCTCAAAAAAAAAAAAAAAAAAAAAAAAGATCTTGTTGTGATTGTGTAGCCCAGGCTGTAGGTGAGGTCATTATGTAGGTAAGGATGAACTCAAGTTCCTGATCCTCCTGCCTCTACCTCCCAAATGCTAAGACATGTGCTGTCATGCCTGACTTTTCAGAATTATCTTTAAAATATGCAATCTGATTATCTGTGTCCTGTCATCTCCAATCCCATCCCCAATCCCAAATACAATGAGAATAAATAGAAGGTCCTTCACATGGGCCGCACATCGCTGTAGGATCTGATCCTCGTATCTTTTTTTTTTTAAATACATTTTTAAAATTTATTATTTTTATTTTATGTGTATGAGTGTATTGCCTGCATGTATGTGAGTGCACACATGTTGTACAATGCTGCAGAGGTTAGAAGAGGGCTGCGGATTCCCAGGAACTAGAGTTAAGGACGGTTTGTAGCCGCCATGTGGGTGCTGGGAATCAAACCCAGGTCCTCTGCAAGAGCAGGCGGTGCTCTTAACCGCTGAGCCATCTCTCCAGCCCCCCGGTCCTCTTTTTTTGCCACAGTTTTCACCTGCTTTCCTTAATGCCTTTGAGAGTACAGCGCGCAGCAAAGAATTGCTTTCCATTTAACAACATGCTGCTGTTAAATGACCTTAAAGTCTCTAACACCCAGCCTACGTCACTGCCTTGCAGGCTCTTCCTGCTTTATTGTGATTAGAGGTAGGCTTCGGCATCTGTGGGATTCTTTCCTTGCTCTTTTCCCCACTAGACTCTAGGTTTCTAACTTGGTTTTGAGCACCGGGTGTAGCATGGGGTACAAGGTAGTGAATGGTAAATCGTGAGCACCGCGCCTGCTCAACAGGATGGGAGTAAAGCCCCCCCGGGGAGGGGGGTGCCGCAGCGCCGGGAACCGCAGCTTCTGTTCACGTTCATACTCCTCTCTCCATCGAGGCACAATCTGAGCCCTTCCGAACCTACTGCTGTAAAGTACAGATCGCACTCCAGCTCTCTGTAATACTTATTTCTATCTTAACAATTTAATGCAGGTGAAAAATCTAAATTTTTATGATGTGGTTCTGGATTTTATATTAATGGATTCCTTTGAAGATTTAGAAAACCCGCCCACATCTATACAGAATGTAGTAAATAATCGCTGGCTGAACTCTTCCTTCAAAGAAACTGTAAGTGGTGATTCACCTTTCTTAGCCACTCAGGTCTGATGAAAGACACCCAGGGATGGAATGATAGAGAAAAGTTGAGTGATTGCCAGGCACTCGCCTTAATCCGATCTCTGTGAGATCAAGGCCAGCCTGGCCTACATACCAAGTTCTGGGCCACCTGGGGCTACAGGGAGGTGCTGTCTCAAAAAAAAAAGTTCCATAGATATCTGCCTCTGGAACAACAAGTCAGGAAACAGCCTATCCTGTGGCGCTGGGATCAGGCCTGTGTAGTATATTACACTTTCAGGTGAAATTCCCCTTTGGAAGCCATGCTTGCCTACAAGTAGTGTGGCATTCATGCTTCATGATGGAGCTTAAATGTCTTTGACAAGGGTTCCAATTGGCATTTTCCCAATTATTTTGGAACTTCCTGATATTTTAAAGCATTTTAAGTCTACTTCATTAGAGTATGCTGTAAACATTCTTCATTTCTGTGACTGATTGGGTAAAGTGATCCTGGTCAAAGCTGCATCACGATCAGACTTCCTCAGGATCCATCAATGCACTTTGCTTTGCCTTGTCACAGTGTAATTTCTTAGTTCTTAAAACTGATAGCTTCAAGGCTGGGTGTGGTGGCACACGCCTGTAGTCCCATCACTTGGGAGGCAGAGGCAGGCAGATCTCTGTGAGTTCAAGGCCAGTCTGGTCTGCATAGTGAGTTCCAGGACAGCTGGGGCTACAGGGAAACCCTGCTTCAAAAAGACCAAAAAAAAAACAACAACAAAAGGACAGCTGGGGCTACAGGGAAACCCTGCTTCAAAAAGACCAAAAAAAAACAAAACAACAACAACAACAACGTGGAGGGGGGCATCTGAAGGATAAGTCTCAGCAGTCCACAAGATAAAGAGAACCCCTTGCTCTTATAGGTTTCTAAAGGGGTTTCTAAGTTAATATACAACTTGTACTACAAGGCATATGTAAAGAGTCAGGAAGATGTTAGATAGGAGAAAGAATAATCATAACATGATCCAAGAACTCCACAGGCATTGCACAACACGGGTGCACTTACCTACATGCAGGTATAACACTCATAACACAGGAAAAAAAACAAACAACTGTTAGCTTCACCTGCAGATATTTCAGCAATACTATTCTCTCTCTCTCTCTCTCTCTCTCTCTCTCTCTCTCTCTCTCTGTTTTTAGACAGGGTCTCACTGTGTAGCTCTGGCTGGCTGGAAACTTGCTGTGTAAACCAAGCTGGCCTCTAACTCATCCACATGCCTCTGCCTCCCCAGTGCTGAGATGTTCCACCATGCCTACCTTTCACTGCTCTTCTTTTTTTTTTTTTTAATATTTTATTATTTTTATTTTATGTGTATGAGTGTATTGCCTGCATGTATGTGAGTGCATCCATGTAGTGCAGTGCTGCAGAGGTCAGAAGAGGGCTTTGGATTCCCCTGGAACTGGAGTTACAGACAGTTGTTAGCTGCCATGTGGGTGCTGGGATTCGAACCTGGGTCTTCTGCAAGAACAACCAGTGTTCTTAACCACTGAGCCATCTCTCCAGCCCCTTCACTGTTCTTAAAGGAAAAAGATGATACTTTATCTTCTTTGTTATACTGAACATTTATTTGTGTATGTAAGAATATATCTGTATTTTCAGTGCTTTCTCCCTCTGTAGCCCAGGCTGGCCTGGTTGAAATCCTCCTGTGTCAGCCTCTTAAGCACTAGGATTATAAGTGTGAACCTGAGTTGTAATTGGTAAGCTTCTCGGCTCTAGAGTTCAACTTTTTTTCTTACTGGCTTTATATTTTATTTTTGATTTCATAGAAATGAAATCTCTTCATGGATGTTTGTAAACAATACAAGGAGCCTGGGCTAGGACTCACTGTTAATATTTTAATTTGTAGACCCATAAACTTTGAATTTTTTAAAAAAATCATTCTTTCATTGTAAGCATTGATTAGCTATAAATTGAAACCTTGCTTTCCTCCTCTTTCTCTCTAGGCTGTGGTCTCAAGTTGTTGGTCAGTGCTGAGGCAGAAAAGGCAGCAGATGAAGGTAAGCTTGATTATGCCCAGGTTCCTGCTTAGTCCATTTTCTTTTACTGTAAAAAACAAAACAGCTGGGCTAGAGAGAAGGCTCAGGGGGTAAGAACACTGGCTGTTCTTGCAGAAGACCTGGTTCAGATCGCAGCACCCACATGGCAGCTAACTTCAGTCCCAGGGGATCCAACAGCCTCTTCTGACCTCCGCAGGCATTTCACGACACGGGTGCACTTACCTACATGCAAGCAACACATAATAAAAATAAAAAATTATCAAAATAACTGAGACCGGATGATTTATATGGAAAATGCCTTATTCAGTCCACATAGTGAAGGCTGAAAAGTCCATGATCCCGCCACCTGCAGCATCTCAGAAGGCTTTGTGCTGTGCCCCACGGGGAGGAACCTGCAGGCCTGTGTGACAGAGGGGGCAGAAGGAGGCCTTCTTCCTGACAGAGTTCTCTCTCATAGTAGCTGCTCCAGTCTGGCCAGAGGGACAGCTTACTAGGTTGAGAGCAGCACTAACCTGCCCCAAGGGTCTCACAGCCATGACCAGAATTCCTTCTTCTCCATCTTCTAGTTCAAATGACAGAACGCTGACCTCTCCACGCGCTGCTGGTGGTAAAGTGTGTCCACTCTAAACTGAGACCCAGGTTCAAATGCCACTTGCTGATCGTATGATCTTAGATAATTAACCTCTCTAAGGCTTAGTTCCTCATTTTTGAGAAAAAGGATAATGACAGTATTTATCTCATAAGCGTTTTTAAAGATTCAATGTAAAGTGCTTAAGACTGGACTGTAGCTTAATGGCCTTGAATTTAATCCCAACTCCAAGAAAGAAACAAAATAAAACAAAAACAAACCAGTAAATAGTTCAATGAAAAGTACTTAGAATAGAGCTTGGCATAGTACATTATGCAGTACTGCCTATCGTGGTATTACTTGCCCACAAACCTGTAGTATTTTATCGTATGCATATTTTTCAGGGTGATGTCTTAGCTTTGAGCCTGTAATGCTGACCTCGGTGGTTTCTGCAGCCCACCCTCCCTGCGTCTTCAGCCTTCAGAAAGGCTTCTAGAGTTTCTCCTTGAATAATTCTCATTTAAATGATTTCTGAAACTGTTTTTTCTTCTTTGTGTGGAAGTACATATATATATGATTGTGTGTGTGTGTGTGTGTGTGTGTGTGTGTGTGTGCACATGCTTCATGTGCGGGTGTGGTGGTATACCACAGTGTGCCTGTGGAAGTCAGGTGTCATTCTTGCCTTTCCACCTTGTTTGAGGCAGAGTCTCTTCAGTGTAAGCTCACCCTGCTTCTGCAGAGTCTGTCTACACCTCTGGCTCCCTGTAGGCCATGCTGCGATTGCAGGTGCTTGGGCCATGCTTCTGGCTTTTATGTGGATTCTGGGGATTTGAACTCCCGTGGTCAGGGTGAAGGACAAGTGCTTCGCCACCTGCGCCATCTCCCCAGCGTCCTTTTTCTTTTAGGAGTAGTTCATTGAGGATGGTGCAGAAAGGCAGCAGGCTATGCAGTACCAGAGGACGCCTACAGCCCTGGGATTTTTTCTTTCTAATTAACACATATTAATTGTACAAAATAATGAATTTCAATGTCACATTTTCTTACATACCTATAATATACTTTGCTCATATCAGAGACTGTACTTTAAGTTGAGTTCCCTAGTGTGTTTTAAAGAGATTCCCTGCATACAGACTTGGGACCGATTCTCACATTAGCAAGATCATGGCAAAGTCAGACTGACAGACTGACTCCGTTGTCAGTCTTCCATTTGTGAAGTGGAATTAATACCTGCCTGGTAAGACTGTGTCACAGGTGAAATGAGAAAATGGCAATAACACAAACAGCTTCCTTCCTTCCTTCCTTCCTTCCTTCCTTCCTTCCTTCCTTCCTTCCTTCCTTCCCTCCCTCCCTCCCTCCCTCCTTCTCATGACTCAAGACTGTCAAGACTGTCATACTTGCAAGAAAGTCCCCATAGACACACTATGAACATTGCTATGTTCCAATAAAACTTTATTTATAAAGCAAGCAGAGGGCTGGATTTGGCCTTTCAGCTATAGTCAGTATCTCCTGTGTGAGATGGAAGTTGGATGAAGCCAGGGCTTAGGACCACCTCGTGTGCATTGTAACTTCCTTCCCTCCGTCCCTCCCTCCTTCTCCTTCCTTCCTTCCTTCCTTCCCTCCTTCCCTCCCTCCCTCCCTTTCTTTATTTTCTTGAGACAGATATTTACTATATTATATAACCTAGGAAAGTACTCTGCCACTAAGTCACAGACAAATAAACTTAATTGAAACATAAAAGTAACCTAGAAAGCGCCATAATGATAATACTGTTATTAACATCTCTTTCCTAGGTACAGAGTAAATGCCATAGTCTGTCTAGTGGTCTGCACCCAGAGACACTAGGTGTGTCATTCTCAGAGAGCTGCTTTCTGCATGGGAAATGCAAACCTCTCTACTGACATAAATCTTCCCATTTTGGGGACTGGAGAGATGGCTCAGCGGTTAAGAGCACTGGCTGCTCTTGCAGAGGACCTGGGTTCAATTCTCAGCACCCTCATGGCAGCCAACAGCTGTCTGTAACTCCAGTTCCAGGGGATCCAGTACCTTCTTTTAACCTCCTGTACATTGCATGACATGGGTGCACTTACACACGTGCAGGCAATACACTCATACACATAAAATAAAAATAATAAAATATTTAAAAAAAATCTTCCCATTCTTGAGCTCAGCTCTTAATCTTTGCACAAGTGTGTCATCTTCGGCCCACACAAACTTCTTATTTTTTTGAACTCGTAATGCATAATACATTTAGAGTTTATTATGATATTTAGATAGAACATTTTTTAGGTCAGAATAACGCAACAGTTCTT